TTCAAAGGATTGCTTTGGCTTAGGGGGTTGCAGATTCTTCTTTAAGCCACCTCCTCCTCAGACTTCTCTGTTACGTTTTCATTTTTATCTGTCACTTCTGTGTGCTTCCTCCTCATATTGGGAGAGCACACCACTTGGCGCAATTTACACTACAGTGTAATTGTGCATAATTGGAGTGGGATTTTTTCCCCCTTTGGAATATCTGTGAGACATTTTCCCCATCATTGACTTCCCAAGTTTCCCCGTGTTCTGCTGCAATCTTTCTTCAACTTGGATTGTTCTCATGTGGATGTCTTGTTCTCTTACTCTGCCTTGGCTTCCTTACTGCAGTGATGCTTTCAGGAGCATCCACATGACATTATCCTCAGTTCATCTTGCTTTTGTGTTTTCCTCCACTTTGCTATAATCTTTCCAAAATGTGGTGTGTTATGATGTTTTTGGAAAGTTGGCAGAGTACCCTTGGATGCCGTGCGGATGGGAAGGTGTGCACATTTCTGTCTCCTATCCACATCAGCACCATTTTCTTTGCTTCAGTCCCCATGGTTGCCATTCCACCCCACAGGAATCAGCGATCACTAGATCATTAAAGTGTTATAACAATCTATTGTCACAACTGAATTCTCAGCTTTCATTAACAAAAAAAGTATTTAGCCCTTTTGTTGCCCAATGAAATGCAATAGAGTCTTTCCCCTCCTCAAAAAATTGAAATGAACTAGTAGGTCTTGACAATAGGTATTTAACATGCTATAATGCTAGCAGTTCCTGTAGGGGTTTTTTAAGCCCATTGGTGGCATGGGGAGAGCTTGTGGTGGACGGAGACTGAAGCAAGGAAAGTGCAGCAGAAACTGCCATGTGGATGCTCCATTGCCCTCCAAGAGTAGCAGTAGGGCCAAAATAAAATACAAATTAAAAAAAATTCTTTCAAGGTATTTATTTATTATTTTAATTTATAGCCCGCCCTCCCTGCAAGCGGGCTCAGGGAGGCTCACAGATAGGGCAAATGCCAATACATAAAAAAGTTAAAAACAACATAAAAACAATCACAATATTCCAAGTGCTCTAGATGTTTCAATCAGTCCTCAATAAAAGATGGCATCTCAAAGATGGTACTCCCAGTTCAATGGTGTTCGCTCCATGCAGCGCTGTCGTTCACTCCTCACAGGGCCAGTTGGCAATGATGGTAAAGGTGGTGATGGTAAAGGTAGTGGTGACTCCTACTCAAAATCCTGGCAGAAGAGCTCCATCTTGCAGGCCCTGCGGAACTTCGCAAGGTCCCGCAGGGCCTGGATCTCCTCCGTGAGCTCATTCTACCAGTTAGGAGTCGCCACCGAAAAGGCCCTGGACCTGATTGCAGCATACTTGGCCTCCTTGGGGCCTGGAGTCACCAGGAGATGTTGCGTCCCCGAACGTCGTGCCCGTTGGGGAATATATGGGGAAAGGTGGTCCCTTAGGTATGTCGGACCCTGTCCATTTAGGGCTTTAAAGGTAAGAACCAGCACTTTGAAGTGAATCCAGTACGCTATTGGCAGCCAGTGCAGCGCTTTCAACACAGGCTATATATGCTGACATTAAGAAAATAGTATTTTAATTTTTCTTTGCAATATTCTGCAGAGAATTGGAACATATATGTTTTTTTGTTTATGTATGCTCATAGGGTATTCATCTCTTGAGTTTTTAATTTAGCTGTACCTAGTGAAAAAATTAAGGTCTTAATTCAAAGGAATTTTCAATATACATCAATAAACTGGTCTGAACTTAACATGGCTGGTGGGAGCAGCAGGTATGGAACTAGTTTGCAATTCTGCACACTGCTAGTAGTTTAACATCCAAATGGTTACCACAAGGAATTCTCCCACAGTCAGCTCTTCATCATGAATGTTAACATTGGGAGCATATATGTACCTCCTTGATAATAAGAGAAGGGCGTGCTTTCACTTGGACTGTTAGAGATATTGAGGATTCAGAAGTGCAGCTCCCACTGTTGAGGCAATGGCCAGATTGGCATTGAGAAGCCCTTGTATTGTCTGGTGACCTGAGACTGAGACAAAGTAGTGAAACACCAGCAGGGGGACTCGGGGGAGACCTAGTGGCTGAAATAAGCTTTGACTCTTCAGGATCACTTAAAATGTGACAATTCCTTGTACAAAGAACCTACTTGCAGAGGGAAAAAAGTGGACCCCTGCAAACCACCTGGGATTATTTTGCTGTGGCAAAATGTGTTTTGGAAGCAACAGCTGCAAAATACCTTATTTACCTTAAAGGAAGACTAGGGTTTTCCCCATATTTGCTGTCAAGAAAAAAAGGGGGACATCTTAAACTCACATACGGGTTACAGTTGTGTATAGTAATAAGCAATTTAAGATTCTCTAACATTCAGTGGTGTTTTGGCTAAATATAGTAAATGATTGTGCAGGCTTTGTATGCCAGAGGGTATAGATAAGGGGGTTTTAATGTATGTGAAGGAATGAATGTTAGCAGTTCAGTTGGTTGACCTACCAAGAGTAACATACAGCACCTTTGAAATATAATATTCTGTCTCTGCTATTGCAGACACTTTTGAAGGGAGTGAACTGGATGATTAAAATGCTAACCAGATCACAAAGAGTTAATAACACATTTGGCTCTCTAGAACAGACATGTTGCATATTTGCTCATACAACCACTTGGAGATACCATTATCTTTGGTCCTTAATGCTGCAAGTGGAGAGGGTGAATTTTGAATTCTGGTGCCTTTTCTAAAGCAATTTAAAGGCATTCTTAAAGCTCTGCTCTAAAATGGAGGCTTTATTTACTTTCTGGCAATGCTGGCCTTGCAGGCTACAAAAACAGGAAATGTATCCCTAATGTTCATAGCTCATAGGAAATGTATCCCTAATGTTCATTAACTGCCTGACAACCAAATCACTACATACACTCACACACACACACACAGTATTTTTTAAAAAAAACCAGAGCCTTCCACAGAGGTTTAGAATTTAAATAATATGAAGCACTTGACAGGTATTGATACCTAACCAGGTGTACCATGTAAGATTATGAAACTGTAGGTGTTGATGTCTAATGCATGGGTGTTTCTTTTGTTGTACTGCAGAAAACAACAGGGAGGATTCAGTCTTCTGAGAACTGTCTTTGGTGTGCGTGTGTGCATGTGTGCTCACGTTCATTTCCCTGATCCACTTACCTGTGAACTTTGTCTCATCTTCTTTTCTTTATATTCTCTGTGTTTAAGATATCTCTAGTTAGGGTGAGACCTGTGCTCTTCACTTGGTACTTTGCACTTCTTTACTGTGGAGCTGTCATCTCAAAGGCCATCAATCAGTGGTTATCAGTCAACAATCTGCTTCTTATCTGAGGCCCTGAAAATGATATTGTATAGAAGTGATACAGAACCAAGGTTAAGTGCATCTTGTGACTGTCTGTGCCCTGCAGTCAGCACTAAGCCATTTTGTATCACTTGGGTCCAAAACTAGTATTGGGTCCAGAGCAAGAATTGGATAACACTCACTTGCTTTGGCCTCCTGTCTCAGTACATAGTTGCAATTTGTTTTTATGCAGAAAATCTTGTTTGAGGATAGGCCTAGATTAATATCAAAGAAGTTTCATGTACAGAGTTCTAACTGGTAAAATTCTTTCCTGCCTCAGACTAGAATCCTTTGCCAAGGCAAAGGGACCCTTGTGTCATCTACATTGGGAGGTAGGAGGAATTTGCACCAGTAATTCTTGTCATTAAATGCCTTGGGGTATGTGTGGCAGCCTATCCAGCTCCTGGATACATGCAGTAGTTGGTTAGCTGTAAGTGAACACATGGAAAATGTAATGTCTGGTTAGGTCCTCAGTCTCTAATGGTCATCATCCCATTAGGACTGCTGGACAGCACATGTTTTGCTTTCAAACTCTTCACAGGTTGTTCCTGGGGTATTTAATCTTGACTGC